TTTTTCGCATAATAATTTTGCTATCAAATGTTCAGATCTGTAAAATTAGATGAAAACTCTTGCACGTATGTAAACTCAAGCTTTTCTGAGTGCCTATAATTGTTTTAGCTTATTTACTCCCTGTTCTATAAATGCACTTGTTGTTTTCTTTCATGTGCATTTTCTTCGTTTGTGTTCGAGTGACATTTTTTATTAATGGAGTATGGACATGTTGAAATTCTTGTTACAATAAACCCAGTCTTTATTTTCCCCCTTTAAAACCTTGCTAGTGTTAAATGTGGCCAACACTCTATTGCAGGGAACCAACAGTAGCAATCTCTGCTGCACTCGTTAAACAGCTCCGGGAGGAAACAGGAGCAGGGATGATGGACTGCAAGAAAGCTTTATCGGAAACTGGAGGGGACATTGAGAAGGCACAAGAGTACCTCAGGAAGAAGGGTCTTTCAACTGCTGATAAGAAATCCAGCCGGATTGCTGCTGAAGGCAGAATTGGGTCCTACATTCATGACTCCCGCATTGGAGTACTAATTGAAGTCAACTGCGAGACTGATTTTGTGGGTAGAAGTGAAAAGTTCAAGGAGTTGGTGGATGATCTAGCAATGCAAGTTGTGGCCTGTCCACAGGTGAATTTTGTGTCCATAGAAGAAATTCCAGAGAGCATCGTGACAAAGGAAAAGGAGCTCGAGATGCAGCGTGAGGATATTTTATCAAAACCGGAGAACATAAGAGAAAAAATTGTTGAGGGGCGAGTCTCAAAGAGGCTCGGGGAGCTTGCACTTTTAGAGCAGCCGTTTATCAAGAACGATAGTCTCTTAGTGAAAGATATGGTCAAGCAAATTGTTGCTGCTCTTGGAGAGAACATAAAAGTCAGGAGGTTTGTTAAGTTCACTCTTGGAGAGACAACTGAGACTCCAAAAACCGAAGAAGCCAAAGCATGAGAGATATACTTCCAACTCACCCAAAAGATAAAAACCTCCACAGCATGTTAGTGATTAAGGAGATTTGAAATGTGAGTAAAACTAATTATGGATATGTTAGATCTGAGAAACGAGCATTTTGGAATTTTTTAATTGTGATTACGAGGATATCTGATTCTTTTTGCGGTGGTTAAAACAAGTTTTCAAAATGTAGTAGACAATGCTGTTCACATTAAATTCCATAAAAGCTGATTTTGATTTTAGAGGATAAAGATTTTGATTCTGAATTGTGAATTAGATATGGTTGTAGGATAAATTTACTTTCGGAATGAGATGTTGAAACATATTATAATATCTGGCCTGAGTTCTTTACTTCTGCATTCAATCATATTTCATGTAGCGAACTTATATATCTCGCTAAAATAACAAGATTGATGAGTGGTGAGAAGACCCACCTTTGTAGCATCGCTGACGATCTCGTATATGTTCTTTTAAAGATCTCATTAGCTATATGTGTATATATATATATACACACACACACACATTAATGATCTCACATTGATTCTTCTATCAAGAGGACAGTCTGTACTGCAAATAATATATCGGCATGTTAATTACAATTTAATTTATGTCCTGCACTGTAACGGTCCTGGATTTTAAAGAGAAATGTATATATAAGAAAATTTTGAGTGCGAAGCGGAATAAAATTTTGATTATATCTGTTACACAATATTTCAAACGTACTAACGTATGAAAGAATAAACTAAATAAAGTATATATTATAGATGAATGTTATAAATAAAATTATGAAATTTTTAGACATCTACTCGCTGTTTTCCTGCGAGACGGGCTTGGGAACCAAGTTTTCCTGATCTGAAATGGTTAAGTAAGGAATGAGCTACACTAACCTAATAAAGACATCACACTATCTCACTGTCACATAAGTAAATGTTGGTAGAAAACAAAAACGACCAATGAAACATAATTTATAACAAACTCATTTATCAATAATAAAAACCTTTACTGTCAACTTATCTCGATGAGATTCATGAAAACAACTTATGAGAAACAATAACATCATAAATATCATAAGATCATACACACTCTGTAACATAACACATATCATACTTTTGTATTTCAATCATCAGGCAACAAATTTTCTCTGTTATCAACCTACTAGTATCTATAGGGATCCATAGAGGGTCTCCGCTAATTTCAGGGTCATCCCCATACCCCGTCCGGTATGGGCGCCAAAACCATAAACCTCAATACCCCGTCCGGTATGAGGGTGAAACGGGTCGTCCCCATAACCCGTCTGGTATGGGCGCCAAAACACATAAAGTCTCCATACCCCGTCCGATATGAGAGACCACGTTCCCGGTAGGGTTCCTTATGGACCCGATCCGTCCACCATCTCCCAGAATATCTAGTTAGGCTATCGACATTATCCATTTATCAATTCACATACCTTTTTTCATTTTTCTTAATCTCAATTATCCAATCAAACGTAAACCCGTAATGGACACAAAATAAGGCAACACAACATCGGGTTTACAATAATTCAAAACATAATAAATGAAACTGTGATTCATACATACGAAACTATAGAATAAACACATCAGGCACTATACTACATTCAAAACTGTAAAATAAATTAAACAACACCTGACCGAAAAATACATCAGATTCGGCCTCCATTAACAACCTTAATTAATTATACATATCTATTAATTCATAACATACCATTTTATCATTTATTAACCTTTAATGTCGTAATAGGAAATAGGGTGAGAGATCCTTACTTGTTTCGGAGTCTGAAATCGGGTTCTTACTGCGCCTAAGGGCAGTCCCTAGATTCCCTGAATTTTTTTCCAGAAACTGAAATACACTTCCGGTACCTGCACATGTCCCCAAAAAATTCCAAATCAGACCCAAGGCCTTTTCGGCCAATTTCGAAATTCCGGCACGGCGGCTCCGCCGTGCTCCGGCGATGGTGCCGTCGCCCGCGGTGGCGATCCGCCTCAGGTTGGCCGTTTTTAGTCGAATTCGGCCAAACTTGCATTGGTTCCTGTGATAAAACACCTCTAGGGTCCTCAGTGGGCCAAAAAATTATAGAAAATCGAGACTTACCAGCGGCGGGGCTCTCGGGTGCGACGGCTCCTCCGACGTGAGTTGTGATTTGGTGTTTTACTCTTGTCAACCTGTAGAGAAAATGACGGTGGTCACGGTGGTATAAAAATTACATCGAACGGGAACCGAAAAGGGCCTCATCGGAGGTAAAAATTGAAAAAATCAGCGGCGGCACCGCTGTGCTTCGACAATGTTTTTCGGCCAATTAGCCGGTGGTTTGGCTTCGATTTGGCCACAGGTGGATTCAGCATCAAAAACCGAGCCAATGGGAGAAATTTTACCTCGTTTGGCGGCCAGAAAGTGCTCCGATGCGGCGGCAGGTGGCGGCGGCCGGTTCCTCTGGTAGCTGAGTTGTCTTCTCCGGTGAGGGCTCTGGCGACTAGGGTTTGGAGTTGGGTGTGAGTGAGGTTATTTATAACATTCTCCTTTTAATCTGAGCCATTTATCATGATTTAATTTGGGCCGTCCGATCGCGATTAAATTGAGAATGAATCTGGACCGTCCATCACGATACGATCTGGGCCGTCCGTGCGTGATTCAATCTGGGCCGTCCGCACGCGCTCTTGATCTGGGCCGTCCGTGCGCGAGGGAATGGATCTGGGCCATCCGATCGCGTGCACGCGGATCGCCCATGTGGCTTCGTCCCGCATGGCTCCCCACGTCAACGTCCCTGCCACGCGGCATGTCCTAGTTGGCCAGGGGCTGCTGACATGGTTTGCTGACATGGCACTATTTTTTTAAATTGCGTTTTGACCCCCAATTTTCGATTTTCTTTTCAAAATACTCCTACAATC